AACTCAAATGGTTTGTAGCAATCAGTTTCCTCAAACAGTTTGAGTTGCCTTAACTTATAGAGTTTTACAGTACTCTCTTGGTTTGAGTTCTCTTCATTTATTGGGTTTTACTGTGATGGAACTCAATGATATATAGCAGATCTACATTCAGTCATTTAGAACTGGCTCGAGAGCTTATAGAGTACCACTCACGATAACAGAGAGCCAATTGACTTGACTATTTTGACCAATATTTTGGCCGCCTATTTTCAAGGAACCCTCTACAAAATTTTGTAAATTATTGAATTACTTTACAATGGGGCTTTACAGAATTTGCAACAGGAAACCTTGCTAATTGCCTTACGAGACTCTTGTTCATGACTCCTGGGTCATGTGCTCGTCATATAGGACATCCTGCCAGATTTAAACTTTTGTTAAGATTGAAAGGATCTATGGAGTTAATGTTAATGAATTAAAGACAATCTTGTATTAAAACTAAAGCAGATGTATCTTTGAATAATATGAAATAGTTTTCCCTAATATACTGTGTTTATTCTAACCAAGCAGGTTAATCAATGTGTTGTTTTAATCCTTATAGCAGATAAAACCTTCTGTACATGTCAATCTGGATTTGAACTTTGCTTTCTCTTTCGTTTCTGACAGCGTTTTCTATCTTTTCTTTCTGACAACTTTCAGATTTGTCTCCAATTAGTAGCCTCACTTGTTTACTGCCACCTGCCCTTCGTTCCTGCTGATTGCTGGTTCTATATCTGAGGGTGTTTCGCTTCCCCTCTAGCCAGAGTGTTGGGTTCCATGCAGCTTTCTAGTTTGTCTGTTGCTTGTTTAATCTCTGTGTTCTCTGTCCAGTTCTCTGGAACCTTTTTGGATTTGGGCTGGCCTGCTGGAGAATTGATGCTCTGCCTTGCCAATGCCCTTTTCCTGTATTACCAGGCCTGGACCAAAGACTTGCTTCATTTTTTTTGACTGAAACGTAGCCCACTCCTGATTTTCTTTATCATGTAGTGCTACTAATTTTTGGTGGATTTTATTCTATGTTGTGACTTGCCTGTGGTCCATTCTTCAGTTTATTTTTACTTTAATCCCAGATCTGTTCTGAATCTCAGCAAGTCACTGAGTCTTTTTCTATTTGCTTAATTAAAAACCTATTGAATTGAACTCTGCTTTTGGGTGCTTTTTACAGACACCCTTGACAGTATGTGTTTAAAATGTATAATGTCTGGCACAAAACAACAGCTCCAAAAAATTGCAATCCTATGGTGTAAATGGAAAAAAAAACTAGTTGTACAAACATTGTTCATCTTGTAACATTTGATGTAAGATAAGCTGTGGACACACTAGAGTTTGCGTTTGTGCGAAATTTTGTCGTACGACGCTGTGAAAAAGGGTGGGATTAAACAAGATTATTAGACATTAAAGCAAGCGAATGCTCCTTGTTTTAAATTTCTGTCCAGAGAGGTCATGTTTTGATACTCGATTGGTCTCATGCAGTCAAGTGATGCGATTTCTCAAGTCAGAGTTCACCAAGCTTGAACTTTGCTCTGCAGCAACATCGGAAACTTGAAGCATAACCTTGCGTTTCCGGTTTGACGCGTTCGCGTGCGTATGAATGGAAGTCTATTGGAGGAAAAGTTTAGTGGAACCGCAGCTTTAGTTACAAACCTACAAAAGGTTTCACCACATAAAATTAACAAGCTGTCTGTTAGTGATTGACCCTTGGTACGCCGGTACAGGGTGTGGCCCCGCCTTCCATGGTAAGCATTCATTGGAAGACAGTGCCATAGGGATGCATCAAACCAGGCCACTTAAAAACGCCCTGCAGCAGTAAAACATTGCTTTTGTGCATTAGCTTGCTTGCACTAGCTGTGGTCGCTGCTGCCTTTTGCCCTGCCCGGACAATGGGCTGCCAGATGATTGGGACACCACAAACTCAATCCCACCGTGAGTAAATCCCAAAGATGTCACCGAAGCTTGTCACCAGCCAATCAGGAGCAGCGTGCTTCCCCAAGACCAGCACGGTAAGGGAAACGTAAGTCCTCAGCAAAAGCAGAAGCAGGGCCGCTGCTGGCCAAAAAGGTGCCCTATGTAAAATTTTACTGCAGTGCCCCCACAGAGGACCAAAAACACACAAACATATGTAGTAATAAACATGTTTCTTTATTTATATACATATAAACACTCAAAATTATACTTAAACATTCAATTATTTGCAATTTAAAACAATAGTTTACAAAAAACAAACATTGACATGTCTTCTGCAGAAGCATACTTAAATTCAAACATTTACAAAAGGTAAGGAATAAAACCCTATCTAAAACCCTCTCTGTACTTGAAAAGATGGACAGTTTTTAGTGCTGCATCCTGTGTCTGTATCTGCACAGCTGTTAGTGCCTTTGGAGCAGTGCTGGATGCCACCTCATCTTCTTTTGTGACAAATTTCAGCATTGAACCTCCATGTAAAATTCATTCATTCCTTTTCTTTTCGGCTTAGTCTCTTTATTAATCTGGGGTCGCCACAGCGGAATAACCTGCCAACTTATCCAGCATATGTTTTTACACAGTGGATGCCCTTCCAGCCTCTCCATGTATACAGAAGAAATTAGTAATTTAAAGAAAACTCATGGCATGCTATTAAAGCAATGGGTTAGCCGAACACTCTTCAAAATGTGTCTAAACTACAACCAAAATGTAGATTTAACTTGCACTATAATCTATGGTGACAAAAACTGACCCTTACTGTCAGTATAAATCAAATACATTTGCAGTTTTTAAGAATGGTCTGTGGTGCATGTCAAGGCGGCAGTCTTGGTGGACACCTGAAGTAAGGGATGAAGGAGTCCAACAGGGCCTCGTTGGCTTGTAGGTCGCCCGAGGCAGCTGACAGGTACCGGCAGGCCAAGTGTGCTGCAGCATGGGTAGTTGTGGAAGAAAACTCCTTGATGTATCGCTCTAAAGAGCGGTTACCTTGTTTTACTGCACAATACGATCATCTGCTGGATCCATCGGGAGTTCGTCGTTCTGTCACGTTTGGCAGATAAAAACAGGAACAAAAAGGGTGTAGGATCCAAGTGCAGTTTTAATGATCTATTGTGCAGTGACAGAGAACCAAAAAATAAAAAAATCAAAGGAATAAAATATCAAATAAACAAACAAACAAGGAACTAAAACAGATTAAACTAGTGTGTGTGTGTGTGTGTGTGTGTGTGTGTGTGTGTGTGTGTGTGTGTGTGTGTGTGTGTGTGTGTGTGTGTGTGTGTGTGTATATATATATATATATATATATATATATATATATATATATATATATATATATATATATATATATGTGTGTGTGTGTGTGTGTGTGTGTGTGTGTGTACAAAGTTTATATGTATGGTGTGTATTTGTATGCAGTGTATCATGAGTGCATATGTATGGAGTGTCATGCATATAGAGTGCATCATATTTGTGTCATGGTTGCAGGTGCATGCGCTCTTTCTGTCTTGTTTGTTATTGTCACGTGAGGTTGTTGTGCCTTTCACATGTCAGGTTGTGTTTGTATGGTTATCATATGGACTTGGATCAGCTGTTCTAATTAGCAGTCGCAACTGTGCATACTCAGCACTTCTATATTAAGAGCTGGATCCAGCTCCTTATTGTCAGTTCATTACTTGTGTGTGTTCATGTTGTCTCTGTGTTTTGCCAGAATCCTTGTCAGTTTGTCTGAACTTTCTGATCTGATCTGTGCTGTGTCTGCATTTCCCTTGTTCTGGTTCTAGTTGCACCATTGATCTTCACCTTGTTATTTTGATTACTTATTAAATCACTTGCAGTTGAAATCACCAGACTTTGTCCATTGATTCATCTGATTGTGACAATGTGTGTATGCATAGAGTGGGGGTTATCAACTTCCAGTAGCTCAGGTGGAAACATGATTCACCTCACACGCCAGAGACTCAGGTTCTGTTGGGTTCTAGAGCCTGACAGGAGTGTATATGTATAGAGAGACTATATGTATTTGTATAGAATGGATCATCTGTGTATACGTATGGAGTGTACCATGTGTGTATTTGTATGGAGTGTATCGTGTGTATGTATGGAGTGAATCGTGTGCATATGTATAGAGTGTTTCATGTGCATATAAATGGAGTGTATCGTGTGTATGTATGGAGTGTATGGAATGTATCATGTGTATGGAGCGTATCATCTGTGTATATTTATGAAGTGTGCTCATTTATGGAGTGTATCATGAGTGCAAATGTATGGAGTGTATTTGTATAGAATGTATCATGTTCAACTCCCAGTAACTTCAAGTTCAAGTCGTCAGAGACCCGAGATCTATCCCAGATGCTGGCAGGAGTGTATCATGTGTGTAAACGTATGAAGTGTATGTATGTATGTATATGTATGGAGTATCATGTGTGCATGTGTATGGACTGTATATGTATGGAGTGTATCATATGTGTATATGTACAGAGTGTTTCATGTGTGTATTTGTATGGAGTTTATCATGTGTGTGTATATGTATGGAATATACACAGATGATGTGTATTTGTATATTTGTATGGAGTGTATAATGTGTGCATTTATATGGAATGTATCATGTGTATGTATGAAAAGTGTTTGGCTTATCATGTGTGCTTATGTATGGAAAGTATCATGAGTGTATGGAGGGTATCAAGTGTGCTAATATATGGAGTGTATTATGTATGCATATGTACAGAATGTATGGAGTGTATCATGTGTGATAATATATGGAGTGTATCATGTATGCATATGTACAGATTGTATGGAGTGTATCATGTGTGTATGTATAGAGTGTAGGGAATGTATTGTGTATGGAGCGTATCATCTGTGTATATTTATGAAGTGTGCTCATTTATGGATTGTATCATGAGTGCAAAATGTATAGAGTGTATCGTGTGTGCATTTGTATGGAGTGTCTCATGTGCTTATATGTATAGAATGTAATATGTGTATCGTGTGTATATGTATAGAGTGTATCATGTGTGCAAATGTATGGAATGTGTGGAGTGTGTGGTTTCTATTCACAGCAGTGGATTTGAAAGTGTCCTAGTTGAATGTCGTAAGATTGTTGGACACTTTAAGCACAGTCCATACAACACTCATGGACTGATGCAGCAGCAAGTGGGATGAGGACAGAAACAAGAATCTCTTTTTCAGGACGTTACAACAAGATGGAATTCTACCCTGGAGATGGTTAAGCGAATTCAGCTAAACAAATCTTCACTGACCACTACCCTGGCTCAGCAAAGGAGCAATGTTGCCATGTTCACTGCACAGGAGCTCTCCAAACTGCAAAAGCTGGAGGAACTACTTGAAACCTGCAGGTAGGTTAATATTATTTTCTCTGTCTCTTGTCTTGTTACACTATCCCCCAATCTCTCTCTCTCTCTCTCTCTCTCTCTCTCTCTCTCTCTCTCTCTCTGTATGTGTGTGTGTGTGTGTGTGTGTGTGTGTGTGTGTGTGTGTGTGTGTGTGTGTGTGTGTGTATGCGAGCGCTATCCACTATCAACGCGTGCGTTGTGTGCGAGCATGCTGTCCGCTGCCAACTCGTGCGTTTGTGTGTGAGTGTGTGTGTGCGTGTCCGCTTTCAAGGCATGCGGCATAAAATAAAAATAAGTTAAGATAAGATTAGTGTAAAACAATATTAAAAAAGCCTTAGAGGAAATAAATTTGGTGTTGAACAATGTCATGTAAATGAAATACAATAATATATTATGATAGAGCAACATAATATGCAACTGAGTTCTAGATATATCTCTCCCAAGTGTGTGTAAGTGAGTATGAGTGAGTGTGAGAGTGCAGTGTGTGTGTAAGTGCACATGTTACATACTGGCACAAAATAAGTTTGTTTGCAATTGATACCAACATCTAGAGCTGCGCAATTCTGGCTAAAATGAGAATCACGATTTTTTTTGCCTGAAATAAAGATCACGTTTTTTTCAGGATATTTTAGATGTAAAATAAAGGTTAATATGAGAGGGCTATTATTATTGATATTCTCAAACAGCAATAGGCTTTGTGTGTCTGTACTGTTGGTTAAGATGCTAAATTTTGTATAGTCTTGAAATGGTGGATTTGAACAGACTTTAGATTTGTCCTGGTCATTAATGCTGATGATAATTCTGATGTTTAATTATTGTGTTTGAGACATATGCTTACAATCAGTCATTTTCTGCACGTGATTTTCATGAATATAGAAGACTGGGTGGGTATTGTTGCATTTCGGCGGGTTTTGGATACTTTTTGGGCTGTAATTAGTCAGCTATCTGGCAACACTGTGTGCACTTTCACTTTTAGTTTCATTTTCACTGCTAAGAGCGGTTCACTCCTTGCGCGGCTCCCAAACGATCACTCTGCCACAAACTGAATTTTTTTTTACAACTTTATTACCTGTTATTCACAGCCTATGCAGCTTCTGTTTACTAAAGTAGACTTCATTCAGAGGCGCGCCTGCCCTCTCTGTGGTAACAGCTAACTGTCAGCTCACATCACGTGTGATTTTACAGTCACAAATACATTACATGAAGACAGAAATTACATTTTTGGGGCGAATTATATCTTATGAATACAGCATGTGACTCTTTCAACACCATTTGGAGGTGTCCATGTTGCTGAACAACGTATGTAAAACAATGTGAAGACTTGTGCGGCCACTATTGCTTCTCTCCTGTACTTGAAAATTAGATTGACTGAATTGTAGAAATGCTGGATTAAGATTGTCTAGGGGGTCGAATCGAGATCGCGATTTTTATACGATTAAGTGTGCAGCTCTACCAACATCTTGTGTTTTCTATTGCAGACACATAACTGAACTGCTAAGAGGAGAGCAGTTCATCTCCTGTTCAGTGGTATTGCCAGCTATGTGCCACTTGTTCAAAATTATGGAACGGACAGAGGATGATCCAGCCTATGTAGTTAAATTCAAAAAGGATTTTACCTCAGACCTATCTAAAAGGAAAGACAGCACTAATCTCACATGGCTGAAGATCGCTACTGTAATTGACCCAAGGTTTAAAGACCTGAAGTGTCTTTCCAAAGATGAAAGGAATGAGGTGTGGACTTCAGTAAGCAAGCTGTTAATGACAGAAACTCTTGGAAAACAAGAGTCTAAAGAGACAACAGACCAACAGACACCAAATAAGAGAAGAATCTCCGTCTTGTTATTTACTTCCGATTCAGAATCAGATGAAGTAGAAGAGTCCATAGAACAATGTCTGAACCGCTACAAAGCAGAGCCCAAAATGCAAATGGAGGGTTGTCCACTACAGTGGTGGTCAAAGAGAGAAGCAACGCATGCTAGGCTGGCACTAATACCACACAAGTATCTGTCAACTCCTGCTACCACTGTGCCCTGTGAGAGACTGTTCTTACTCTCAGGTCACATCATCCAAAAGAAAAGGGCCACATTGTCCCCAGATTATGTCAACAGACTGTCTCAGCAACTGACTGAAAGTAAAGGAGGACTAAGCAAATTATTTTCTACTCATAATCTACTAATAATAGTTTTTCCAGTGCCAATATTTTGGATTTTTTGCAGTCCTCCTAAAATCCAGCATGGAAATCTTTTTTTGTTTGTTTGTTTTTATTGGCATTTATTGTTTTAAAATTCAAACGGGACTTACATGCCTTTTAAGCCAACAGTTAAGTTTGACAATATTTAAGTTTTTTTTTGTTATGTAGTTTAAATGAGGAAATCTGTTACAAATTAAACAAAAAAAATGTATTTCGAATTTAATTAGTTTCTTTGTCTTGAGTTTACATCAATTTACATTTTACATTTGAATATACAGAATTACAAATGTCAGTATTTTAATCATGATTAATCTCGATTAATTACAAAAAATGTGCAATTTATTAGTTAATTCTTTTTAATCGATTGACAGCACTTGTGTATATGTACAGTGTACCAAGTTTGTATACGTATAGATTGTATCTTGTGCGTATGTGTATGGAGTGTATCATCTTTGTATATGCATGGAGTGAATCATGTGTGTATTTGTATGGTGTATTTGACTCACCTTTAACACCAGAGACCGGGGTTCTATCCCAGACCCTGACATGTATGAAGTGTCATCTGTGTGTATTTGTATGGAGTGTATCATGTCTGTGTATATGTATAAAGTGTATCATGTCTATGGAGCGTATCTTGTGTGAAAGCATATGCATGGAGTGTATCAGTTGTGCATGCATATGTATAGAGTGTAATGTGTGTATAAGTATGGAGTGTATCATGTGTGCATATATATGGGCTGTATTATGTGTGTATATGTATAGTGTGTGTATGTATAGACTGTATCATGTGTATACTTGTATACTTGTATGGAGTGTATCCTGTGTACATATCTATGAGGAGTATCATGAGTGCACATGTATAAAGTGTATTATTTATATGGAGTTTGTCATCTTTGTTTATGTATGGAGTGTATTATGTGTGCATATGAATGGAGTGTGCATATAAATAGAGTTTACCATGTGTGTGAATGTATAAAGTGTTTGGGGTTATCAACTCCCAATAGCTCAGTGACTCACCTTTCACGCCAGAGACCCGGGATCTATCCCAGACCCTGACATTTACGTACTGAGTGTATCATGTGTGCATATGTATAGAGTGTGTGGAGTGTATCATCTGAGTATATTTGTATGGAGTGTATCATGTGTGTGTATTTATAGAATGTAATATGTGTATCATGAATATGGAGTGCATCTTGTGTATCATATGTATAAAGTTTATCATGTGTGCATGCATAAGCATGGATCGTATCAGGTGTGCATGCATATGCATGGAGTGTACCTTGTGTCCATCTGTATGGAGTGTATCATTTGTCCATATGTATATAGTGTATATTGTGTACCGTGTGTGTGTGTGTGTGTGTCATGTGTGCATGAATATGCAAGGAGTGTCTCATGTTTGCATATGCACAGAGTGTATCATGTGTGAATTTGTATGGAGTGTATCGTGTGTGTGTATGTATAGAATGAATTATGTGTGTGTATATGTATAGATTGTATCATGTGTGATTTTTTTAGAGTCTATCATGTGTATGCAGTGTATCACCTATATGTATAGAATGTATCGTGTGCATATGTACAGAGTTTGTCGTCTGCGTATGTATGGAGTGTATCATGTGTGTGTATGTTAAAAGTGTTTGGGGTTATCAACTCCCAGTAGCTCAGTGGTTAAGTGACTCTCTCACGCCAGAGACGTGGGTTCTATACAGACCCTGACATGTGTGTATGAAGTGTATCAATTGTGCATAAGTATGGAGTGTGTGTATGTATGGAGTGTATCATGCGATACACATATGTATAGAGTGTTTCATGTATGCATACACTGTATGTATGGAGTGTATCATGTGTACATTTGTATAAAGTTTATCGTGTGTATATGTCGAGTGTACTAAGTTTGTATACGTATGCAGTGTAATATATGCATATGTGTATAGAGTGTATCATCTGTGTGTATTTGTATGGAGTGTATCATGTGTGTATTTGTATGAAGTGTATCATGTGTGTATATGTATAGAATGTAACGTGTGTATATGTATGGAGTGTATCATGTGTGTAAATGCATAGGTGTATGTGCATAAATGTGTATTATGTATGGAGTGATTGGGGTTATCGAAGTTTATTTATAAACTAATTTCGAGAGGATCACTAGATTATGATTGAACATGGCTGGTTCTGCATTAGCTACGTATGATCACCAATCAGGCCAGTCCTAACCCACTATAAAAAGCCAGGGTTTTTCACTACAGCCATCTTCGATTTGAAGAACACACTGCTCCGAATCAGTTGCTACTGCTACAACAACAACAACAACAACAACAACAACAACAACAACAACAACTACTACTACTACTACTACTACTACTACTACTACTATAAAAACAACAATAACTACATCTCAAACTATAACTAGTGGTGGGCAAAGTGAGGCTTCATGAAACACTGAAACAGTCGAAGCAATTGTGACGAAGCTTTGAAACGTTTCCCACTCTGCAGTGACACCTAGTGGTCATTTTTTAATGTATTGACCTGGAACAGCTTCAACAAATAACAGTTTAGCAAATTGAGGTATTAAACCCCACTTTGTTGAAATAAACCTTCAAGTGACTCAGTGGAGTGGTTAGGGTTTCTGACTACCATGCAGGGTAAGTGGGTTTGAATCCAGGCTCATACAGTTGTTTTGAACTGTTTTAATATCAGTTCGAAATGCTTTTTTCTTGTAATGTTTAGTTTTAACATTGGTCAGACATCCAAATAATCACTTTGCCATAAAACAGGGTTGTTGTTAGACCACATACAGTTCTGGCCAGAAGTTAAC